TGAATCCTGGGCACAGAGGAAGTACATACAGAGATCTCACTTCAGGTTAATTTCGCGTAAGGGATTTTTTCAGTCCGCCATGTTCTTAGCAAGTGCCCTAAAGAGAAGCAGTAACCCCCTGAAAATATATTGAAAATTTAATATTCCAGGGGGGTGAATGCCTCTCTTTAGGGCACTTGCTAAGAACATGGCCGCCAGCTATTTCGGTAAAAAAGCGCCTTACGGTTTTGTAATGGAAGTTACACTTCTGTATGTCTTTATTCTGTGTCCTGGGGTAGGCGTGTGGGACGTTCCCGATTATAGTTTATTCCTATAGTTTATGACTATTCCTAATATAGTTTATAGTATATTTTATAGAATTACTATGGAGATCCTGCAAACTAGCTAGTATATATAGCGTGTGTTAAATAAAATATGTATTGTATTTAATGTAGATCAGATCCTAATAATATTTATTTCATTTAGATTCCAGCAAATGGACATACAACCAGCAAAAAAATCAACAACGAAGTCAGTGGAGCTATACACCAAGGTATATAATAGATACAAAGTTCTGTTCACTATAGTTTCATATTAGTCTACCACTGCAGAGATCAACGGAAAATTCGTTATCGGACGTGTAGTGTTTCAATTATTATCCCCGTTGACTCGACAGCTCAATGACAATGGGTATAGAGCGGCGGTCTGGATACCAGAAGATGTCTCCGAATCCCGCCCGAGACAATAGACACCTTAAGATTGACGTTTACGGCAAACGTCAAACCGCTAGCGAAGTTTTTGATTTTACAACTCTATTATAATAGCTTTTACACCAGTTTTGAAATATGTTAAACTTATTAAACTTGTGCTCTTTAGCAATGATTTAAGAAAGCAAATTAACCACTAGTCATGCCATTCACCAAAGCAGTAAATTAAGATTTGGCGTTTGAAGTTGACGTTTGGCGTATAAATTTCATGCTTTAACGACTACAAGCCCTCGTAGCAGTAAAAGCTATTATAATAAAGTTGTAAAATCAAGAACCTCGCTAGCGGTTTGACGTTTGCCGTAAACGTCAATCTTAAGGTCTCTAATGAATTTTTCATTGTTCCCTGCAGTATCAGAATAATATGGAACTAGTTTTTCAGATCTCTGAGGACGATTCTGGCATACAACTGCATGTTCACATTAAGGCCCATTTACACGGTACGATTAGTTGTATACGATTCTTACTCTGGCGTATGTGATCGAATAAACACGCGTACAAACGTCACATTTCAAATTTCGCCATTAGCGAATGAGCAATAACGTGGCATTAGCACTCGTTTTCATTCGTCAGAATGACAATCGTATACAACTAATCGTATCGTGTAAATGGGCCTTTACACCACGCATGAACTGACTTTTACTAGAGCAATCTTATATGGTGCCGTTACACTAGCCAAGGGTATTCTCACTGAAGCCCGTTCATTCCTTGATACTATTAGTATAAATAATTTAATTTGTTTCTAGTACTGGATTTGATCAAAGTTTATTGAGCAACATTCAGAAACTGTTCTCAGAGAAGATTGAGATATTTAGTGCGGTCGAGTTCTCCAAAGTTTCAATTCTAACTGGCATCATAAAAATTACGCTCAAGGTAATGTGCATTCATTGCTACTATACGTCTTACAGTAGGCCTGTTTTAATTGGAGGGAGGGGGGGGGGGGAGTTGGCGGCTCAACGACAACAAAAAAATTCCGGACATCATATTTTTCATTTCCCCCCGGGTGTTAACGTACCGTTATTCGTTTAATTTTTCAATTTCTCCAAATTTTAGCTATAATTATTAGTTTTTAAACAGTGTTACTCAAATAGTTTTTTCTTCCTATCCAATTCATGTTTTGCCGACTACGGAAACAATTTGCCGACTACCTGACTACTGGGGGAGGGTTAACTACTAACAAGTATTTTTAGAAGTGACAGAACATTTTAAACCATAACTCAGGCTCCCAGGAAGAGGGAATCTTTTCCACACGTTCGTGTGCTGTACTTTAAATTACATTTTACAATGTTCTATTTTAGACGTTACTGGAATGTGTGAGACTGCGAATCTTCAGTAAATTTGGTTTACAACAAGTTCAAGTTGACACGCATTATCTTCAGCTTTACCTGTGGAGATTTGTTTCTGATGAAAAGTAATTCTTCTAATATGGTGTAGCTGATATAACTTAGTTTCGTGACATGGTGTGAAATGGTATGTCACTCTTTGGTACATTCTATATTACTGGTCATTTTATTTTGATATTTGATAATGTAGGCTGGTACATGTGATGTTGGATGAAGTTGTCAACAGCACTGTTCACAGATGTGTTGAGCCAGACATGATGGAAAGCAGTGTAAGTATGATTGAATAAACATGACCAAATTTCCAAGTGCTTTTTGAGAATCATTGAATCAGGGGGGGGAGGGGAGGAGTACAAACTACAAGTTTCGGCCTACACTGTATTGCAGATTGATGAGATAAGCAAGATTGCGTTTAGCTACTTTCATGTTCTTTCACACAGTAAAGGATATTTTCCACTTCAATCGTACCAAGAATGTTCTTGTGAGCATGCATAGATTGAAAATAGGTTGATAAATTCACGTACTTCTGGGTGTATTCGCGTATCAACATGAAAAGTTCGTCGCAAGTCAACATTTTGGCGTACTGCGGAAGTATTAACCAATCAACATTGACCTTAAAGATTGACACCGGACTCTAACCTGGTGTTCTCAACTGTCTTCCTAAGAAAATTCGACCACCAACCTCCAACTTGCTTCCGGAAGTTTACACCCTCTGTTTTTGAATAAGAACCCACACCTGTTCCGTCGCTTGAGTATCCAAACAAATATCAATACCACATTAGCAAGAATGGTCTTACGGTTCATCCGTAATTATCGATATTTTCACAAGCGTACAAACTGTACGCTGGGCAGAGGGGTTAATGACTATAATATGCGCATTTTAGAAGCTGATTTTAGACTCATCCTTGTCATTCCTCAGATTCAACATTTAAGAGTATGGTCTGGGAAAGGGGGGTCGAAAAAAGAGTACTCTCTGTATGCTTGTGAATATGTTGATGTTGGACAACCGACTCCTTAATTGGACGAAACGCTTTCAATTTATTTCATTTACAAACAATCAACGACACTTTGTGTTCTTAGGTTGTAGAAGTTATATGTGAAAGAGGTTAGAGATCACGGAACTTTATTCAAGAATCGACGAGAGATGCGATGTAGGTAATTTAATGAAATAAAATCGCAAGGCAGAGCCCTTTTGGTTCCAGAGACTTCTGTGAAGTATGCTGTGAACTAAATACAATTTTTTATCACGAACAAGCATAACAACAGTGATGAATGTACTTGATAGAAATCAATTCTGTAGTCCAATTTTTCAAATTTTAAGAGCATTTGAGTATTTAAATTAATTTTCCATCAAATTCGTTGCAAAGTTCAAAAGTTCGTATTGATATAAATGCACAATTTGGTATATTGTCATTGAGCATTTGATTTTGGCTGGGGTTATTTCAGTAACCAATCGAAGGCTTTGTTTACAAATCGTGTGAATTTTATTATGAACTTTTGAGCTTCCCAACCAATTTGCGAAGTTAAGAATATCTTTAGTGATAAATAAGTTGAAATTGACTGTAAACGAAACAACTCAATTTATTCACAAAATTTTGAATTACTTTTCATAAAATTATACATCTCGATTTTTCAGTATTAAAGAGCATTAGTCATACTATAAAATATGCAGATTTGGCCACATATACATTCTTGTCCCAATAAATTTGGTGCACATTATTTTAGGTGTTATGAAGGTGATTAGTGTAAAAAGAGGAATCGGCAGAAAATTCGCACATAAATAGGGAGTGCACATTTTATAAATTGGTGTCATAACTAAACCCATCCTCCTTTACTGTTTATAACCATATTTCGTATATTCCACTTGTATAATTTATTCAGGTACTTCAACCAGATCTTCAATTTTTTAGTGGAAGATAATTAGTTAAATTTGCCAATCCTGCAGTTAGAAACAGAATAGCCGCTAACAGAATTTGCTTGTGGTTATTGCTAAAATATGTTAGTCTGTCGAGATATGATGGTCTGGAAGCCCGGCAAACTTCAAAACTACAAAATAAAAGGCTTTTGTTTGATGTTGAACCGTGCCCTTTGTCTCAACTTCATTAAATAGTATACTTAATCGTGGTTGCATGTTTATCTCAGCTATCCCTATTGCACGGTTATTTTCATTATACGAAAATACAATGAGCTCAATCACCGTGACAGTAAAATAAACTCAAACAGAAACTTAACACATGCTTATGACTTCGGTTTCTTTTCCAGATCATCATATCTTGATAACTATAAAATGTTTTCCGTTTCGAGATTTTAAAGTTTGTAGCTTGATATGTAACGTCAAAATGAAATGAAATGAGGGGTGTGTTACTCCAGAAAATCTCGAAAAGTATCTCGAATAAATGACTGAAAATCCTTGAAAAGTCCCTATATAATCTCAAAAATCTCTACAAATCCCAAAGATCCCGATTTTTAGGGATCTTTCATATATACATCTCGAACTCATTAATAATTCATGAGCAAATTAGCGAATGATTGAGGTTGGATACCGCAAGGAAACACGCTAAAAATCATATACCATCACTGTTGTTAGATGAAAAACGGTTTTCATCTAATAACTGAGATCCTAATTACAAATTCAAGTCAAAACACAACAATATACTATAATAATTACTGACGGTCATAATAACCTATTGTTTTCTCTCTGCATTATATCAGCGAATGTCGAGAAGCTAAAATAGCACCCAGCATTATTAAAAATAATGCAGCGTGCACACAGCATTATTAAAACTAATGCAGCGTGCACACAGCATTATTAAAAATAAAGCAGCGTGTATCAGTGCACACACATTATTCGCAATCCTTCGTCATCCTGACAAGTACACGCGATAACGTGAACTAGTGATGGGCGATACCGAGTACTCGGTATTCGATACCAGCGATACCACAAACAGCGGTATCGGTATCGATTACTGACGTGGTATCGTTCGATACTTGCACCCTTTTTTAAACGACTTGTTTAATTTCACTTCTTGGTTGAATAAGACTTAATAAACCACTAAAATAACTCTTAATATTCCAAATGTGGTGCGCCAACAAATGTATAGAAAATATTTATTACGCTTCGGGCTTTTGGTTTACTTATAGCTTTATTTAGGTTACATACAGTAATGTAAAATGTTTTTCCGCTGACCGGCAGGTATCTAAAGTAGCCGATACTAGAAATTTAAGTACTCACTTCCGGTATCGAAAATTGAAACTTTGTGTTCATTTTGGTATCGAAATAGGTATCGGTATCGGCCGATACCGATCTTAAAAGTATCGGTATCGGTATCGAATTAAAAATCCTGGTATCGCCCATCACTAACGTGAACATCTCAAGATGAGAAGTTGACAGTGCTAAAGGCCCCTCATACAATATCATCGGGCGCCTGAAGCACTGCCAAAACGGTCGCTGTGAGTCCTTTCAGCTCAACTTTATAGAGAAATAGTTTCGTTTGCGCTTGTGGGATTTTATCCTAGATATACGCATGTGCAGAACACACCATAACTTCTATTCCCGTGTTTATCCAGTTTAATAATGTTTTCGTTCGAGATGTTATGTAAACAACTCGTTTCTCGTGTTTCATCAGGGGACCAAACACTCGAAAACAATAAAACACTCGCGCTTCGCGCTCGTGTTTCATACAGTTTTCTCGTGTTTGGATCCCCTGATGAAACACTCAAACTCGTTGTTTACATATAACATGCATCCTCATGCAACGTTATTTTAAATTCCTGAAATTGTTCGGCGCGTGTTCGGATCGCCATCGTAATGATTAAGTGTATATTGAAAATGGCGACGTACAGTATAAGAATAAATTTTCGCGATCAAAAAAGGTAAGTCATTCCTGGTGTGCTCCCTTAGATATATATTTAGTTTAAAATTACTGTCGATGTCTTCTAAACTATATATTGCTGTGTGGATAGATGATAACCTTTATCTATAGTATTCCTGGTAGCCCTGTATGTCCTTGACCTTGCTATCTATCTCTCTCCAAGTTAATAAAATACATTGCAATGGCAACTCCGAAAATTTTCATCTTATTATAATACCGTAATCTAGATTAGTCGAAACGTCGAATTATAACACAAAATTTTGAGTTCCCATTGTACTGTATTTTATTCAAACACTCGGTGATTATCGCAAATTTGTATATAGCTATATACGTTAAAACCTCTCAGTCTATTTTAATTGTATACAATCGGTCTTTACTTCAGTCTATTTAATTGTAAAATCATTATTTATTATAAGGTGTCTTTATTGGGTTAAATGACTGCGTTTGCATGACTCCGTGATTCCCATTATATTCACATGATTAGACCAAATTACAATAAATATATATAGATGTGAATACGTGAAAATACCAAGTACGAGTGCACCAAATATAATTTCCAACCTATTACTAGCGTCTCTGTATATCAGCTACATGGACAACGCTTTTTTGGTTTCGGCTCCACTAATTTTAGTGATGAAATTTCTAAAAAAAATAGAAAATAATGCATGAGAGGACTGCAATGTAATTCGCCCAATACAATGCAAATGGCCCATTGCGATTATATAACAGCAGAGTTGTTAACAAGTCAAATATAGCAAGTCGTTTCTTGCAAGTCCATGTCATTGTCAAGTCATTCTGTACAGTTCTTATTACAGCGAACTAGGAAGTCACCCATGACAATTAAATATCTACACGCCACGATTAGTCGTATACGATTGTCATTCCGGCGTATGAAAATTACTAGTGCTGACGCCACAATTCCTCTTCGTTTAGTTTAGGGCGAAATTTGAAATGCAACCGGTTTTGGCGTGTGTTTTTTCCGATTACATACGCCAGAATAGGAATCGTACATGACTAATCGTATCATGTAGACAGGCCTATATACCATGCCACACAAGCTCTCCGTCATAGTGTGATACGCCATTCTGGCTGCACTAGTCACTGTACTTTGGTGAATTACCAGTCCAATTGTAGAAAAGTTAATTTTCACCAGACATTTATTACTTTACATTTTACTTCGTTTGTAACAAGCCATTTTGTTCGACTCCAAGTCAAGTCACAAGTCGTTAATCTAACTTGGTTAGGGTACCGCAGTAAAGATAAACTAGTTAATGATTAATTCTGAACCTTTGGGAGCTTTCGCAACTGGTTTTTCTAAGCATGTCTTTGCAACATCATAAAACATTTCGCCTGCAAGATGAAAAGAATAATTTAATACAGTACAGTACAGTACAGTACAGTACAGTACAGTACAGTACAGTACAGTACAGTACAGTACAGTACAGTACAGTACAGTACAGTACAGTAGTACTAAACTAAATGTCACTTTCATACTTAAACTTCAAAAATTAACCTTCAATTACTTACCAACATTTTCACCAGTCAGACTGGAGGTTTCGAAAACTTTTGCGTGAATTTCTAAAAGAAGTTAAAAGTTATTGCAATGATGTGTCGAATATTTCTCACCAAAATGGTGACACATTTTTGCCGAAGTTTTCATGTCACACTCCCCAGGTGCGCAGTATACCTTCGGCATCATATAGAGCCATTTTTTGTCAAATAGCCTCCTACTCCAAATTTTATTGGGAACCTTGCAGTTTATATACTTGGGAGTTGGGATTCTCATTTTGGTGCCCCTGTCCGCTTTTGTGTCTGGCAGTGGAAGTCAATAACCTAAACCACACTATACCTCGTTAATATAATAGTCGAATACTATACAGTATAATGGCCGTTAGAAGAGATATCCTCTAGGAGATATTCGATTGTAAGTATGTTTGCGTGCATGATTTAAGCCTGGTTTGTATATGACACCGCGACTTCCATTGTCGGTGATTATTCGTGAGTAAAATCCTTTGTGATCTGAAATCATTTTCTCCTTCAATTAAGTCGCTTACTTAAGCCACAATCTCTAAATTATCACATTCATTTGTCAGTGTTATTAATCAGTAATGCTAATATTAACAGCATGGGATTCTCGGGCAATTTGAAAAACACGCACTCGTAAGGCGTCCAGTATTTGGACTTTTAAATTCTCACTCGTCCTTACTTCCCCCAAAATGGCGCCCATTTTTTTAAAACACTGTATAGCTCTTATGTATCTAGCATAATATATGTACATTTAATGAATTGATCAGCGTGCACTCTTTAATTAGCCATCATGGTTAAAAATTTGCCGGATATTTACCGGATAGTATACTACAGTAGCTGGAACTTTTATTATAAACTGTAACTATACAAAACCGTCTGTTTTGCGTCAAGATATTGAGAAACAACACAAACAACTAGAGTGACACATTAAAACATTGTCTAACGATACTTGTGACATATACTAAACAGACATTACAATGGACTGTTCTATGCCAAAAATTTAGTGACGTATTGTCCAAAGATATACTGATGGTAGTACTTGGACAATAGGAGCAGCTTTTGGAGCAAAACCAGAAGTAATAGATGATAAATCACTTATACTGGGAATATGGGTAATGAATTATTCCTTTTAGATCAATATACAGCCAATGCAAACAACTAATTCAATTAACTACACACATGGACAGATACAGTGGTCTGTTTAACCCACAAACTGAGCGCCAGCACCCTTCCCTTGATGAGAAAATCGTCTGACATTATACAGAATAAAGTAGGACACAAAATGGGGCACAGTGCAACTTATAGGGTTAATCTGCTCAGCGCCAGCCCTCTCCCCTTGATGAGTAAAATCGTATGGCGTTAGACAGAGTGAAATAATGATGTAGGATGGAACCCAACTCAATGGGTTTAACTATACACAATGACATGGGCAGATAATCTGATTCATGCAGTGTGTACCAGTGTTCTCCTCTTGACAAGTAAAATCATCTGGCTTTGCACAGAAAAACAATAAAGTAGGGTGCAATGTAACTCGATGGCTGACTCTTCCACAGTCCCTAACACTCCCATCATTCAGCGCGCGTTGGGTAATTCAACGCGCGCGTAACTGAAGCGACTGGGGACGAGTCAGACTCGATGGGTTAACTAAGGTCATCAATCCGGTAGAATACTATCTTGTACTATCCGGCAAAGCAGTATTCGGCACATCCCTGTATTTCATGAATCATGTACAAAATATTTAAGTATAGCGAATTTTCTCTTCGCCTTATTCTCATGAATAGATTTTTGCGGTTTTTAGCGACCAAGAATGAGGCTTAACATTTATTAAATAAAAAAAATATTTTGCCGTTTTCTCCATCATCAGTTCACAAAACTACAACTTATGATCTTATAAAAAAACTCCGAAACATCGCACATGTACAATAGAATTCCTCACCGTCAGCATAATCTGTTGTGCTATGATAGTCGACCTGTCGCTTTCTTTTATCTTGTTTTGTTATATCCAGCTTTGTACCACATAAAAATATTGCGCAATTCTAAAAAAATTAAGAAAACCATTTTGCTTTACACCAGCACACTTACAAATCCGAGTCCTATACATTCGAGCCCGAGTCATGCCCTCAAGTACGTCCGGACTCGAGAACAAGTCCGGACTGGAGTCCTACAACACTGGTGCAAGCTGATACATAGTATGCTGTGTGGCCAACCTCGCAACCTCTACAGCTGGAGAGTGTGTGAGAGGGAAGCGGAAATAGAAAGCCTGGCTTGCGAGGTTGCTGTGTGGCTAGACCATTCGCACAATTATGGCACTGATCTTTTATACAGCAAAATACAGGCATACCAGCTCCATCTTTATCCCCAAACTTCAGTCTATGCATGTTAGTGTCATAATGGTGCAGTGAGTACATGTAATTGTGCAAATGATGCACCACGGCACAGAATAAGAAGGTATAGCAGAAGCGTAACTCTAGTCGTTTCCCTTATTGTTTTACGTCCACGAAAATTTTAACTCGCTCACGCCAATCCACGTCATCCTGGCCAGTACAACCGGAAGTTTTTATCAGGTTTTGGTAGGTGCAAAGTGCCGGTTGTACTAGCCAGGATGGCGTGATTGATGACGAATCGCTTGTAAAAACGCGGACAAATACTTGCTCGAGTTACGCTTCTGCTATACCTTCCTATTCTGTGACCACGGATTGATTGCGTGACATGATTGTGGGATTACGTGACAGGTTTTTAAACGGAGCGAGGAGGTAACGGAAATCAAAAGCGTGCACAGAGGACTAGGGACTAGTCTGCGGAGCGAGATGAAAACGGAGGGCCTGGCGCATGCGTGTGAACACAAACGTCATTGCAAACCAACCATCTCGGGTCTCAAAACAGTAAATTCGAATGCTTTTCGTTTAAATATAACAGTATCTTCGCTTCTACAGTATTTGAAATATTTTTGGTTCACATGAATGCTACTTTAATTCTTAAACAAACTATAACGACGTAGTGTGAACACACGTAAATTCTGCCGGTATTATTTCACTCCGATGTAGTGTGAATATTGTCTAAATCTGAACCGCTTACATACTGTAGTTGGAGGAATGGATTTACTGTGCCCACCCTCTTAGCCTTAGCAAAGGGTTGAAAGGGAAGTGCCAATTTCCTTATCATATCTTTTTTTTTTTGGAACGATCAATAACAAAAACTATTTCAAATAAAATGGAGACAAAATGGGATGGTACAGTACATAACTTGATTTTGAAATTACCAAGCACGACTACACACTAATGCCTTGGTGTACTGTAGTTCCCATTAGTGAATAACACTTGATCAATGGTTGCACCCTTTACAATGACCAAAGTTCAATAAACACCCCCAGATTTGGCTGGATCCATCCATGTTTTTATAGATGATAATAGATTAATAGCAGCTAGGGTAAAATACTGTGTGGTTCGGCAGTTGAGTTACCATCAGTTGTTTACCAGTTCAAGTGATGTTCAACTAGTACTCGACATCAACGAGCCGACTGACCTGAATGGGGGTTTGCCTGTTCTGCTGTTATCTAGAGGTTCACCTGTTCCTCTACAAAAAGTACAGTTTTTGCATGCTCTGTCAGGTCTTGAGTACCCATACTGTCTCAGTACACTAATGGTGGTCGCTAGACCATCATCCCGAGGACTCAAACTCGCTGAACAACATGCACAGCCACAGAGCCACGTCACTCCCTCTGCAATCTAGAGGTTCACCTGTTCCTCTAGCAGTCTAGGTAAAACTTAGGTTAGCAAGAGCCTCTATTGACCATTCTAACACTTCCGTGCCCACAATATATGTCTATATGTGTTTTGTTTTGCTAAAATGGGGGTAAGAGTGCCAGTTATTTCAACATATTACTGTAAACTTCATTAGTTGCCCTAGCAGGGTAAAATACTGTGTGGTTGCATGGATACATGTATTTGGGTTTTTTTCATTTAACTTTGAAGATTAAATGAAACTGTTGATTTAAAGTCAGCAGGTTTTTGTTCAGTTTGAAATAGGGTATTACACAAACGTTGTCTAGGCCAGAAAATACAATTTGACTTGGTAAATAAAATAAAGTATAGTAGCTACCTTTTCATGAGTACGAAGTTCATTGACCCAAAACTTTACTTTATCAAAACTACTGGAATCTGTTAAATCTGCAGTTTTTAAAAAAAGAGAGTGTATATTATATAATAACGTTAAGAATTCAAGCGCCTTCATTGGTCGAGAGCCATGATCAGTATTAGAGGTCAGATGCACAGAATTATGTCATACGAAATTCTTTGTTCTGTGCAGCCAATCACAACTTACACAGCTTGTGACTTAACATAGCCAATACCATTATTTGACGTATAGATCATGTAGGTGTGATAGTTGTCACTGATATTTTCACTTTTTCAAAATGTCCAAATGTTTACTGCAGCATTTACCTGTTTAATTTTGGGGTTTTTCATTAACCCATTATTAAGCTGCAGAGCTTCCCCACTGACGAGTAAAATCGTTGGGCATTAGACAAGTAAAAAAAATTAAGTAGGGCGCACTGGAGCGCATTGCGGCTCAATGGGTTAATTAACTAGAGACATTGTCAGATTTTTTGGTTAACCCATTAAATTAAGCTGCAAAACAGTATGACATAATGTCAGAAGAACAAAAAAGTGACCCAATGGCCCGTGAGTCACTTTTTTGTTCTTCCCACATGACAACAACAACAACAACAACAACAACAACAACAACAACAACAACAACAACAACAACAACAACAATTTTTATTCCAACATAAAAATTATTTACAATATGAATATATATATGCATACATATATATGCATATACACATATATACATACACATACACACACATACATATGTTTTTCTTTTTTTTTGAGATTGACTAGGTTGGTATTGGTAAAAACCTAGAAAAACCATACGGGCTTATCAAGCTAGGCAACCAAATACTAGAATAAGATTGGTTAGATGATAACCTTGTATTATAATTATGTAATTGGTCAACAGGCACAAAAAAGAGGTTAAATGTAGAAGGCAGGAGAGAGTTGTGTCATACTGTGATGTCATACTGTGTATCTATTTCACTGAACAAACAACAGCAAAATCTTATCTATTTGTAATCAGTAGCGTAGCCAACCCGACGATTTAGTCCCGCTATATGCAAATATTTTCATGTTCATTGATTGTGAAAACAATCAAAACAATCAATTTCTAAAGAAATGTTATAATGATAATAATTTTGAATTTGCATAGCGGGACTAAATTGTCGGGCTGGCTACGCCACTGTTTGCAATTTGTTAATGGGTCTATAGTTACGTACTAAGTAAAATGTCAAACATTTTCAATTACCATAACAAATAATTGCAGCCATAGCTCCTCTATAGTATATTCTGCTCATTGCTTCATATCGTTCAGACCCTGCGGTGTCCTGCATAAATTGAAAAGGCTTGTGAATATGTTTCTAGATAAGCACTGACTGTAAACTGTACACAGGTACAGAAATTATAAAATAGTAATTTCTCCCAAGGCCGAGATTTCTCTTCGACAGAATTTTAAGAAAAAAGGATATTGCACTTGTTGAGCTGATATTAAAGAATGTGCAAAATTTTAAAAAAAATTACTGAAGGGAAAGGGAGAAAATTAGGTTTAATTTTGGCATTTTTACAAGATACATGTATATGTGTACTATTATCACATCTCATGTGTACAGACAAGTACAAACTGTACAATAGTAGAAAACTTGTTTCTTGTGTGGGGTACCGTAATAACAAATGTATGCATTTTGTAAACAACAAGGCATGGTTTTTTTGAATTAATTTTATTCCATCTTTGCCAGATATTGGTTTGGGCGTGGGATTATTTAATATATTACATTAGCGTGCAATGCAACTCAATGGGTTAATTTAATTAAATTAGCTGCCACATTGGCTGTAAATTGATTTGGAAGGAATACTCATTACCCATATTCCCAATGTAAGTGATTTATCGTCTATTACTTCTCGTTTTGCTCCAAAAGCTGCTCCTATTGTCTATCAAAATATAAAGTTATTAGTTATATGACAGATAATTAGCACTAGGCTGTCAGTGATTAAGGATGAATGTAAGAGAGTCTGTAGCTACTCATGATCATCAAGTCAACCTTGAAGTAGCAAATAGCAGTGAATACAAGTTACTGCAATTATCATTATAGGAGAATGACAGTTGTATCTCTTATAAAGATTGCTGCTGAGAGCAATAAGGGGCACAATGCATTGAGTATCAGTGTCATACGGCCCTTTGTCTTGGGTATATACCAGGTATCATTTACATGGAATGCACCCTAGGGCTCATTGGAAACCAGCAAGGGGCCTTCAACTACACGGTTGATCAAACTAGAATATAGAATCATCTTTACTAGCTAACTTGTTCCACTATTTTTCAGTGGACGGTGTGAAAACCCAGAATACCAGAATACCATGGAGTATATGACAAAATATGGTGGAATATTATGGACTATGGCAGAATATCACAGAAAATGACAGAATCTCACAGCATTTCCCCAAATAGACAATACCTGGAAACATGTCTTAATACATTAAGTATTGGTATTCATACAAAAACATCAGCCAGTGAAAGAAATGACAACGGTTTTATCCCAACTTGGAATGCATGCATTTATTTATTAATTTGATATGAAACAACGAATTAGTGATGTATTAATATCTGTATGTTGGTTCCAGCAAAGTGATGTTGAATAAGTTCTTTGTATGTTTGCATGGTGATAAAATATAATAATTTTGTTTGTGGAAACACCACGTAAATTTATTACTGCAGTAATAAATTTACGTGGTGTTTCCACAAACAAAACTATTATAAAGTGATATTGGTTACACATTGTTATGCAAGGTTTTTGAAGTGTAATTATAACACTTATCTCCCCGACCCCAATTGGACCTCTGGCACCAAAACTCTGAACCAACAAAATATTGGCTGGTAATTATTTGTAAATTCCACTGAGCTATTAATCCTACTGCTGGAGAGAGTGCTTGGGGTTCTGGGAAATATCCATTCGCCACATTCCAGGAAATTCTGTCAGTGATACTGTATATTCTGCAACACTTCATGATATACCAGCATTCCATTTTCATTTCTGGTCAGATCCCAACCAGATCTGAATAATACACTTACTTACATTTTGATAAGGAATATCCTTGTTGAACCTATCATGTAGGTACCTTTCCACTAGACAAGTCTTCCCACTATATTCTTTCCCCAGTAATACAACTTTCGCATCAACTTTGTTTGCCATGTGAAAGTCAATGAATAAAAATAAATATCTTCAAATGCTACAACAAGCACTTCGTAAATATATAGTTTAATAATCACCAAATTGATTAGTGATACTGTATTTCAGGCAACTAGTCTATTAAGTCCGTACTAAGTCAGTACTAAGTCAGTACGAGCTAGTCCAGGCGTCACTGCCGTCACACACCATTAATCAGCAAAGTCTCATCATGTTGTCACGAAAGATGATCATTGTCACGAAAGATAGCCAATACGCATACAAAAAAAAACCAAACAGTTCCTCCACAAAGCAGCTTTTAAAAATTTAACATAACACATCGATCAGTTCATGATAAAAACGTAAACATTTCCAAGAAAACATAAATTACAAAACAGAAAGCTGTATTTGGCAAACATTTGTTACATAGAGTACATTTACCGTAGGGCTTAATATACCCTTATCGAAGTCCCGGTATTGATTTGCCCGAATGAACTTTGCAAATATGGAAGTAATTTTGGGAAACCACGAATAGCAATGTTTTTATCCTGTTTATATAAGGTATATTTTTGTATTTTAGTGAATATTCTGTCAAAAAATTACATCTATTTTACTATATATACGGATACAACCAGTAGCGGCAATTTAACCCTACGCAAAAGTTCCGGTATCACCAGGTAAACAGTATAAAACACGAGGACACAAAACGCATGGTGAAATTACTGTGAAGCTTACATGTAAAATGTGCTGTTTTGGTTGGTATTATAATGAATTCAGACGTAAAGTTCACATTAGAAGACCGTGAGCTTATTGGACCTGTGACTGCTTTGGAATTTGACAACACTGGGAATATTTATGCTGGTATGTAGTTCCATTTGATTTCATATTTATAGATATTGTCATATTGAATTGCTACATAAATATATTATTCATGGTCAAAGGTCAATGGAACCCTCTCCCATGTCGAGGAAACAAGTGCACCCCTCCCCTGCAGAATAATGAGTCATGAGAATACCTCTTCAAGATTTTGGAAAATTTTAAATTTATTCTAAATTCAGCCCTAAAATTATTGTAAGATTGCATATCCCTGAAGATCTGAAAATGGAGGTATCCCAGCCTAGACCTAGGCCTTCTATTTTTATTTATATTTTTTTAATATTGAGCGCTTTTTCACATGAAAAGACTGGAACTAGATGACATTGCGATAATTACCAAATGCTAGCCGGAAATTGACCAAACTTGCCAAAGCCAGCCGAGTAAAGGCCTAGGTCGCAAACTCCCCGACATACGGTATAGACCTGTGGTCTCCCAGTAGTAAAAAATTTCTCCCGGTATTGACAACTGGCAATTATCCCGCTTTCTTGTCAATGTTATTAAATTTTGGGGAAAGAGACGAAGATATTATAGCTAGTTGTAGTGATGACTCCTTTAGAACCAAAATAACTCGCTGAATTTGAACTGGTGTTTATCCGAAAGTCAGGTCCGAATAATTGGTCCGAAGGGCTTGATGAACATTGGAAACGACAACTCTTTACCACTAATCTCTGCATGTCTCCATCAATTTATACTGTATTACTAAAGGAATCAAGCTGCCTTAAAAGTATACCAAGGCTGCTAGTCCTTGATATTATGTCGCTCCTAAAAATCATCTTGCATTATGCAACACAACACTTGCATTATGCAACACAGCACTTTCAAAACTAATAGTAACAAGACGTCTGCTCAGGCGTTCACACTGACCTGCTTGAAAATGAGGACATACGCGCTATGGTGTAATGGACAAGGGAGTGGGGAGCAAGAGCAGTGGCGGAAATTCACTTTTTCCGGTGGGGGGGGCAAAGCCTTCTAAATTTCTGACAACCCCCCCCCATTTTCACTCGAAAAGGCTGTTTTTAGCCCTTTTATAGGTCAAAATTTCCGAAAATTCGTCATTTTCCACGAAGGTGGGGGGGGGCGGCCGCCCCACCTAGATTTCCGCCACTGAGCAAGACAGTTCATAGAACAGTTTGAGCGGTTGATACTGTAGATTTATCCAAAGAAAATCAATATTTCGACAACAAAAACCCGAAAGCAAAAACTGTTTGAAACCTGGAGTTGCGTTTTTGCACAAGTAACAAAGCTTCATAGGAAAACGATATACTATAAAAATATTATAAAATGAAACAGTGATGTATAGGTAACATCTCTAGTGCTTTAATCATATTTAGTTGAATATCAAATGTATAGTAATAATATCTCTATAGAGAGTATGTCGGATTCACACAGAAAAACACTTGACCATATTCAGCTTTATCAAATCATTGTCGTGAATCATTTCTTGGTAGTAAAACAATGAGATACACTATTTCATTGTCTTCTTTGCCTTTCGGTTGCCTTGAACGATCTCTTTGAAGAATGGAGATTTTGCCCTACGCAATATTCCTTGATCATATTCCAATTGTTGCGGTATTTGAAAAAAAAACGAAAACCGATACCGGAAAAAAATACCGATATATCGATATTTTTCGCGATTGTATTTTGTTAATTTTATGCAAAATTTGCTTAAATTACTTATTATCATTGATTACCGCACTGGATGAATCATGCATGTGTGATATTTTTTATATTCAGGTAATTCCTAGACCTAGGACCAGAGAAAGTTAATTTACAAAAATAACTGTCAATTTGGAAAAAAAATAATTAAGGTATATTTACAAAAATTTTAGAAAATCCAAGAAATTTTCAGAATTTTAGAAAAATTTCTTTGATAAATGGAGAAAATTTGCGATATCCGAAAAAAATTTTATGTCGCAAAAAATTAGGATATGTCCGAAAAAATTTTTTACCCCTAAAATGGTTACGCTGACCGAAATTTTTTTTTGGGGGGGGGGGTCGCCGAAAGTCAATTTCCGAAAAAAAATTTTCAGGTAAAATTCGAAAATTTGATACTTTCAGGTAGATTTAACCAAACACCCCCCCCTGAAGCGAGTTCATCGCGACGGCACTGTTCAAAACATTCAACTGCGAATTCGAAACAAACTAACAAAGGTCGTCCTATTTCATAGGATAAACAATGTCCAATATGAGGTTAGTTTTTGTTTTTCTAAAACTTTTGTAATCCACCGTTGTTTTAACTTGTTTACGTTCTAAAAGTTCATTTTTTGACAAGCGCGAAATGACATATCACACCTTGCAATGCCAACGTATAAACAAACATGCAAAAAATATCGATATTCCGATATATCGAAAATTTCAATATCGAGTAATCGGTATTTATAAAAAACCGATAATTATCGGTTTATCGATATACCGCGACAACCTACTTGCATATCACATTATTCAGAGCTGTCAAGTTCAGATGGTTAGGGGCCATTCACAAAGGATATCCGAACCGAGGGGGGGGGTTGGAAAATCAGGACAAACTCGGACATAGGGGGGGGGGGGAGGGGGTTTAAAAAATTCAAAAACAAATTTCTTTTTCCCTCTATTTTGAGCAGTCCTTCCCATTGTGAAATTGGCATTTTGACTATGCGGTTAACACTAGATTTTGTTTTAATTAGTAATTTATATGTTTTTGTGTTCACATTTACAGTTATAAAGTTCTAAAAGTAAAAGTTTTTTAC